AGGCTCCTCATATTATCTTATCAGCTGTTATCACTTCCTGCCAGCCATGAATATTGTTCCCATCCTGCCCCCTGTCTTACTTCTTGCAAACAACGTCCCGTTGTCGCCGTGGCCGGCGCTATGACTTTGGTGAATCTCCCCTCGTAAGGCTCCTCATATTATCTTATCAGCTGTTATCACTTCCTGCCAGCCATGAATATTGTTCCCATCCTGCCCCCTATCTTACTTCTTGAAACCAACGTCCCGTCGTCGCCGTGGCCGGCGCTATGACTTTGGTGACTCTCCCCTTGTAAGGCTCCTCATGGTATCTTATCAGCCGTTATCACTTCCTGCCACCCACCAATGATGTTCCCATCTTGCCCATAATCCTACTTCTTGGAACCAAAGTCCTAGCGTCGCTGTGACGCGCGTTATGGAGATGGTGATCCTTCCCTTCTAAGGCTCCTCATGTTATCTTATCAGCTGTTATCACGTCCTGCCACCTACCAATAGTGTTCCTGCCCGACCTCCTACATCACTTATCAATTTGAGCGCTCCACGCTGTTTTGAAGGAAGTTATGAATTTCCGGTCAAACACACATACAGACAGACAAACACACACACACACAACAGACAAACTTAGCGGATTATATGTAGCAGGATAAGATTTCGGGGAATTGGTCGGGTAACAATGCAGAATAAGTTTGGATAGGAAACCGTATAAAGATCAGAGGGTAGATTCAATATGCAAGTCAATGCCGACAATCTTACGTTAAGCGCGACTCACCATTAACGTTTACAGTTCGATCAAGCTGATCTTGGACTGGCTCGTGATTACTACTTGAACCAGAGCAAAGTATGGCAAAAAGATTGAGGCTTACAAGCAGTTCCTCATAAACCAGGTTAGCGCCAGCAGTGATAACATACATTCTTTTTAGGTGTCTTCTTGTCAGAAAATCATAAGGAGTTGTGATTGTTTCAGGTGAATCTCCTCAGAGAGTACGCCAATCGTCCAAGTTGCGATAGAAAGATTAAGCAAGATGTTGACGAGATCATCAAATTCGAAACGAAGATTGCGAAGATAATGGTAGCTGAAGAAGATAGGAAAAACCACACTAGAATGTACAATCTTCGTCGTCTTAACGATATGGATAAACTGACACCCATGGTGGGTAGACGTTTCTAAGTGTCGCGCTGCCGGTAACCGTCTAAACTCCCGCGTAGAGCACCGACATTCTAGCGAAGAAGGATCTGAACCGGCTCGGGTACATGGCATCAGTAAGTGTATATCCACCCATCATCAGTTACTGCCAAGCGACAGCCTCCTACGCTACGCGCGTTACGATCACTCGAAGGATAATGTATTAAAGTGCTCCTAAGCTGGAAGCCTTTGCAAGACGCTGTTTATCGTTACAGTTGATCTACGTAGGCAAAGCAGTCGGCATATAAGGACAACTTCCGTCCAGGCATATATTCTTGCTATATATATGTCGCGTGCGTTTGTTTCTTTCCCTAAACGGAGTTATTTCGCCTGCCGATCGCTGTACGATCCTTTTCCAAAAAGTGATGGGTTTCATTTTCACTTCAAACTGACGGCCTTTCAAACCAGAATCACTACTTTTGAGACCGAGTTCAAGCTTATTCAGCAGGCATCACTAGTAACTTCTGCGAGCGCGGCCCCTACAGCCACACCACACCACATCTCAACGTGGTCGTGCTTCTTCAAATTTTTTTACGATATCTGCTTTTGTGGTATTTTGTGCTTGCACTTTTCGGCACATACGCACTAGCTTAGAAGGACTGTACATCGGCACGTGGGTAACTGTTTTCCAGAAGGTCGAAAATTTGGCTTCTCCTAGCTAGAAAGTAATGCAAATCGGCAGAATAGTCTCAACATTCATGCTAAGGCATCATTCTCATCACTCGGAACAAAAAAAACCAGGCAGAAATCGTTGTGAGCGGTGAACGATAGCGTGACTATTGAATTTGAGACCCACCCTGAGACCAACAGAGTTGCACTATTTTCCAAGAAGGGGCGGAGCTTGTCACTGTGGATTCATGTAGCTGTTAAAAAATGCGAAATCTTCGGATGAGCATGATCCGCAAAAAGCCGCGGATGGAGCGTGGCTAACGGGCGGTGCCCAATGCTCCAGTGCATAGATGAGCGCCTCCCTTGTAGATGAATGGGAGTGAAATCAACGACACTGAAAACAGTTTCGAATAACCGATGCTCTGAAAAATCGCGACCACGCTGGAATGTGGGTGTAGCTGTAGGGGCGGGGCTTGCAGAGGTGACTATTGATGTCGTGGGTGAATAAGTTTGGGATTTGTTCTGAAAAGTTGTGAATTCTGTCTGAAAGATCACGGATTTGGTTGAGAAGTCGTGAATTTCAAGTGAAAATGTTACATGTGGGGAGGAAACACAGGAATTTAGTGGAAGTGAAGAGTGATTCAAGGAATTTTGTTCACGGCCGATAGAAATGACTGGCTTGACCAAATTATCACGATGTTAGTGATGAAGGCACGAATAATCCCGATTCCTCATCTGTAGTAACTCTCAGTTTGCTGCTTCAGTTCATCACTTACTTTTCTCGATTCTCCTCTTTCCTGAGATTTTATTTCACATCAAAATAATATTTGCTCGAAGAGCACCTATAATTTCGATACGTGGGGCCCATACGGACAGAGTGAACCTAAGCTTTTAGAAGTTCTATCTTTCAAGGTGCCCATTTAGTCAAGGTGAGAATTCACAGGAGCTTCAGATTGGTACGCATCGTTGTGCGAAACCCATAGGGGGGAGTGGTCGCACCGAGCACCGAACAACGCTATGACGTTTCAGTTGATAGAAGGAGAGAGCTATGAAAGCCGTGATGTTGAAAAAAATGTGAAAATTTTCATGAGTGTATTCTCGACAGATTTGAGCGCTACATTCAGTCTTCTTTTCACGCGAGATTGAAAGGGGGACGTACTTGGCGCAGGGGACGTGGGGAGGGTCGCAAATGTAGGTCGGTGGGCATTAAACAGCACAAAAGTGTCATTGCTAAGTTTGATGGAGCACGGAAAGCTGCAGATGACCCGGATGTAAGGAAGACTACAAAATAATAAAAAAATTGATTAGCAATATCAACAGCTAGCATGAACTCGTAAGTGCGTAGATGACTAAATAATACGTCTCAAACAGATTCGTGCGTATGGTGCTTCCAAATCCTAAACACCTGAACAAATATCTGCTTGCATGGAAAAATCACCTAAAATCAGAAGTTACACCTTTCCACCTCTGCGTAGAAGCGTAGTGCACGGCGCACACTCGGACCAAATCGACCAATGATAACGAAGCTTCTCTCACTCGTTTGAGTTTTGAAGGCCTATTGGAGTTCTTGAATGAGTATCCTCATGATGGCACGGAAGGAGTCCAACTTTTGAGTGGCTCAGAGATTAGCGCTTCGGTTCCCACCTTAAATAACTTCTGTCTTCAGGAATACTGTGAAGCTTGTTGGAAAGAGAAAAGATAGGGCGCTTCGAAGAGGGTTTTGGTCCTGATGAAATTGCGTTTGAAATAAGTAATCCTCGTGTGAAGCATAAAAACCCGCTCGCGATTTAGCCCTAGCTCATCCGAAACCCATCTGAAAGATTTCACGAACGGGGAAACATTCAGATTGCAACTAGGTAGAAAACGCAACAGTAGGAACATTGCCTTTGCATGCTGCTTACCATTCCTCAAAAGCTCCGCACCTAAAAGAATAATAACCTCCCGAAAAGACCCCAGGACGGTAGCTGGGCCAACAACTGCGCTCCAACGACGTTTTTCCGCTTTCATACCGTGACGATCGATAAACTGCCGGCTGGTAATTCATATTTTTACCTTCAGTTTCGCTTTTTTTGTTGTTTTTTCTTCATCAGAACAGATTTCATCCATCAGAAGAGTAGCATCCGGTGTTTAATGTTCCCGCTGCCCGTTGCGATCCACTGATTGCACATCTGGGCCTGACACACTGACTTTGGGGCTATTTTTTCACCAATTTTGCTTATCAATGATCACCATTGTTTGCTGTTTTAATAATGGTCCTTGTTATAAGTTGCATCTCATACATGGTTGCCGAACGACGACTTTCTATTTTTGAATTTTTGAACCCTAAAACAAAACTGTTGGCAAAGTGTAGCTGCAGCCTCGTATTGCCTACAATTTTAGAGCAAAGTCCGCACTGCAGGATTCCTGATTCTAGGAAGCCATTTCTTATAAACAAAAATGGCTGTCAGTTAGAGCAGGAGGGGAAGGGGGGGGGGTCGTAAAGGACCCTCTCCGAGGGGAAGGATCGTAATCACACCGCAATTTCGCACATCCCCATGTACCCTGTTATGTTATGCTATGTTATGTTCATTACGCTGCATAAGGCAAACGTGAGAGAATAGAACAAACAAAGAACGACGAAAAGAAAACCATTGAAAATAGTAAAAAGACAACGACACATCAAACTCGGAAAATACGCTTGCTAGTATATCAAGAAAATATCAAACTCATTAAAGTGGAATGATGCGACTCGAGCTGGCAACGATCCGAGACTAGACTATGCAATTACTGGTCAAGTGGAGATTCTGTCAATATCCAACAACTGGGATGTTCCATAACTAAGTAGCCGTGCAGCTACAATCCTCTTAAGCTGTCGTACAGTATTGGGAACAGCTAAATTCTTTGTGACCTTCTTATATGTGCTCGCGGCTCTGAATGAGAAGCTAGCGGCTCTAACTCTGGTTTTCGGACAGGCTAAGAGAATTTTAGCTTGCCCACCTCTGGTCCGTGAATGCTGGATTTCAAACAAATGAAGAGGATTGACCCTTTAGACCTTGTAAACCATGCTCACATCCGCAACCATCCGACGTGTTTCGAGGGTGGAAAGTTCAAAGTATTTGTTCCTGATGGAAGCTTTGGGAACCCTCGAATAAGGAAGCTCCTGGTTCGCAAAAGAATTTTACGAGTATAGTTATTTTGCACCTTCTCCAAGGCTAACACATCCCGTTTCTTAGTGGGAAAGAACACAGCGGCTCCCGTCTCTACTAAAGGAGCGAACGTATGTTTTGTATGCCTTAAGCGGTTTTGTATGCCTTAAGCAGAACTGACTTGTTGGTAGAGGACAAACCCTTGAAAATGTGAAGCGTCCTGAGAAAAGCCGAGTTACATCGGTTTTTGATATGTTCGGAAAAGTCTAAAGTGTTGGAATAACGAAAGCCAAGGTCCCTAACAGAGTTGACTGGGGAAACGGCAACACCGTCTATGGTGTACGGGTAAGGAATGGCTCCCGAATCCAAGGAAATTCTCATGCAAAGCGTTTTATGCGGGGCGAGAGGAAGCTGCCATGTTTTTGCCCAGTTACTAAGCCGGGCAATGGCATAGTAACTGGGCAAAAACATGGCAGCTTCCTCTCGCCCCGCATAAAACTCTGAAGGTCTTCACAGTCATACCGTTCCAAGATCCTCTTGTAAACCCAAGATCCTCTTGTAAATCTAGATCCTCTGCGCATGAAAAATCGCCATCCGGGCACTCGATTAGGGCGGCAAGGATCGCGAGGCGGTTGCGGCGCGGCGATAAGCTGTTTCCGGCCCCATTCGGCCACATTCTCCCCAATTTTCGCCGCTTTTTTTTCCATTTTTTTCCAAACTAAGTTGTTTCATTGAGAAAGCACATTAGGACGTGCAGTCTTTCGTTTATTTCTGTAACAGAGTGTTTTTCTTCCGAGTGTTTGCTGAACTGTCTGCCTAAGGCTTCGTGAAACAACTCACCCATGCGCCTTGCGGCACGAGTTTTCAACGTCACCGCACGGCGAAGCGAAAGGCGATGGCCCGCGCCTCCGCCACTGTGCTCCAATCAGCAGCCGCTTTTATGTGGAAGGAAAAAGAGGAAAATAGAGAGAGAAAGATGATTGAACAGATAGTGGATGCTTACAGGTGAGTTAGTGGTAGTGGTGAGAGAATACAGAAAAGTCGACTATCAGGGCGAATTACTTCAGCAAATGGCAAAACTGGCGAAATAGTTCCCTTCGATTGTGAAAACGACGCAAACAGCTCTTACGCAAACGTTTAAGGTGAGATTTGGCAAGTTGGCAAGCAGTTGGATGTGAACGGCATAAGCGGTAATCGAGGGAACTATTTCGCCTGTTTCGCCATTTACCGAAGTAATTCGCCCTGATAGTCGACTTTTCTGTATTCTCTCACCACTACACTAACTCACCTGTAAGCATCCACTATCTGTTCAGTCTTTCTCTCTCTATTTTCCTCTTTTTCCTTCCACATAAAAGCCGCTGCTGATCGCATCACAGTGGCGAAGGCGCAAGCCATCGCCCTTCGCTCCGCCCTGCGCTGATGCCAACACCGCGCCGAATACGGGCTCGTGAGTTTTTCCTTGCTCCTTCTGTCGGTCTGTTCAATTGTGCGCGAAAACAGAAGAATCTCTTGAACCGGCGCTATGATATTCGTGTCAAAGAGACGCGCACGCACGGACATAGCCGATTATCCTACTATATATAATCCGCTATGTATGTCTGTGTGTGTGTGTGTGTGTTCGTGTGTGTGTCACGAAATTCATAGCGCCCGTCCCAATAGCAGTGAGACATTGATTTCAAGAAGTGATGTAGGGGGTGTGACGGGAACACTATTGGTAGGTGACAGGAAGTTATATCAGTTGATAAGATTCGATAAGGGGCTGTAGAAGGAGAAGGTCACTATAATCATAACGCAAGTGACAGCATCAGCCTGCTCTCGATTTTAAGATATGATATAGAGGATAGTCCAAGAACATCATTAGTGGGTCACAAAAACTGTAAGCTGCTGATAAGATTCGATAAGGGGCGTTAGAAGGAAAAGGTTACCATATTCACAGCGCAGGTCACAGCAGCAGTCAGCTCTTGATTTCGAGATATGATATAGGATGAGGGCCAAAAACATTATTGGTGGGTAATAAGAACTGTGAGCTGCTGATAAGATTCGATAAGGGACGTTAGAATAGTGAGGTCATCGTATTCATAGCGCAGGCACAGTCATATCAGAGAGTGAGTTGGAAACCGTGGGTGACTAGAAGCGATAACTACTGATAGGGGCTGATAATGGAGGTTGCAGTCGTCGTCGCTGTTCAAGGCGGTTCACGCTCTCAAATCATAGAGATTTAGTGATGAGGACATTGATGACGGGTGACAGGTAATCTTATCAATCGATAAAAATTGATACGATACCATCTGCGCTAACCTCTCACCGCTTTAATGCCGAGTATTCGAGGCTCAGATTGTGAAACTTTCCTTTGGCCAACACTTTCCTGATAACACTAGAAAATGAACTCATCCCACTATCCTACTCTATATAATCCGCTAAGTATGTCTGTCCGTGTGTGTGTGTGTGTGTATGTTTGTGTGTGCGTCTGTCTGTGTGTCACGAAATTCATAGCGTCTGTCCCAGTAGCAGTGAGACAGCCGACGACGAGCGATGAGTATATAGTCGGCGAAAAAGTTGTCGAGCGGGGGGGGGGGGTATACAATAACTATGCAACGTATATCCCACGGGCGTACAGAATGCATATAGTGCATATAAAACAAAAAATTAATACGACCCCCACTTTTCCACAAGAAAAAATCAACTATCAAAATAAATTTGTCTTACCCACCCCAAATACGACCCCCTCCCCAGAGCAAAAGTACGACCCCCTCCTCATGTGTTTCACACAAGGATGCTGTACCCTGTCTGTGTTGTATGGCCGTTATGGCGCGGACCGCAAGTATAAGCGTTTACTATGGAACGCAGGATCCGCAGGGTTGCTCTATCTGTTATGATTGTACCAATACAGAGCTGTATGAGCAACGCAGTGATTGAAAGAGTTCCGTTCCCCATTATGGAGCGCGCCTGGCGAAGCCAGGCCAGCTCGGCGAAGCCGAGCCAGAGAGAAGGAGGAGAGCTCGGCGTCAGCCGGGCGATCCGACTGGTCTCAATCATAATCTACCTTGTGAAGATAAGGAACAACTAATCTCAAGAAAAGCAGCCATAACGGTGTAAATTAAGGAGAAAATTGATAAAATAGGCTACAAACAACTGACCACTCTCGTAAGACGCCGCAGCCGCGTCGCGGCCCTTGCCGCCCTATTCAAGCGCCCGGATGACGACTTACATACATACATTCACACATGCACACGCATGCATACATATACTCGACAGAAACACATTTATTCCTTGATTTCAGTGTCATCGGAGTAAATTTGGCTTTCTTTGTGTGCCTTCATCTTCCAATGATCTTTCACAGTTCTGCACACCGATCTCGTGACGATTTCTGTTTCCTCTGCCATTTTCTGTACTGACCGCGTCGATACCAAACGCCAACAAAATTTTGCCTCTTTGATTTTTCGTTGATTTTCACAGAAAAAGGTCTCACACGTCTTGATCGATCGAAAAAAGTTTAAGCAATCATGTTTTTTGGAATTGCTTTTCTTGGTACATTCAACTCCCTCCACGAGGCAGGTTGATGAAATATATGAGACTGGGCGACGGCAGCATCTTCACAGGAGAAGACAAATTTTCGCTGTAGTTGAAAGCGAGCTTTACAGTGGTTCAGAAAAGTTAGTCTAAGAGTGTCTAACACAAAGAGCAATTTGTCTACTGAATTTCTTGCTACATCGCTTGTTTCCATAACATCGCCCCACCGTATAGTCACCGAGTATTTATTTGTTGAGAATTGTATCACAATACGTGCTTGATTTTGTATATTGCGGTTCCAGATTAAATGCAGTGGGAAGTCGCTCATGGCAGTTATATATGAAAGAGTCTGCCAAATTGCTGCTTGCTTGAGTCACACCCCCGGAAAGAAGTGTTTCGAGCATGCTCTCATGGCTTCGCTTGTACTTACATCGAGTCTTCATCAAGTCTTGCCGGAACCAGAATTGCTCGGTCTGGCGTTCGTCGTGGCCATGAGGGACAATTTTGGTTGTCCATGCGGGTACAAGTAGACTTGCCTACATTGCTGGAGGAAGCTGCAAAGCAATCGGATGGTAGCGTCGACTTGCCGAGTGGGCGAAATGAACCAGACGATGAGGTGCTGTGGCACCAAAGCGTATAAGAGGGGAGGGGCGGTAGAAGGCACTCCTCGTCTCTGTTTCCAGATCTGCGCAGATCCCGGCCTCCCGAGCTCAGGTTTCGAATCATGCAGTAGAGCTGGGAAATCAGAATTCAAAAGCGTGCATTGCAGCAAGCATCCTTCTGGCTCCATCAATAGGGTCTGCAGGCACTAAGGCAACGGACGTCTCCCTCAAAAAGAGGAGATGCGCAGCGAGAGTAGAAGCGTTTCGGGAGACCTTTGTCTGCGAAGTCAGTACTAAGATCTCAGAATCATTTTAATCAGCTCAGAACCTCGGCTAGTCTGTCGTTTCTTTGCTATACAGTTCGCAAAAAACTTCCAGCTGTTATCTAAACGCAGAAGATGACGGTGTTAAAGGCGGGGTCCGCGGTAAGGTATAGAGGTTAAAAATATGGCATGGGAGGGTCACGAGGTCCGCGACGAACAACTTTGTACCGGTTTCGCTTCTATTCGCCTTTGAATATTGAAATGTAGGGAAATGTAATGTATAGTGCAATACAGGTTCACTGACGCCTCCTTTTCCCGAGTGAACCCGTCTCCAGACTCCGCCTTCAGGATCCGCTTTTCAGTGAGAAGCGAGGCTATAGAAAGAAAAGCATGAAAATTGTCACCTGTACGGTCCTAGAGTTCTCATCGGTGGTTCAGCTTTGCGGATAGGACCGTAGTGTACTAGATGGAGGTAACTAAGCGCGTAAAATCTGGGAGCGGGTCAAACTATCCCTGGAGCCAATTTTCAGCAAATCTCCCATAGAGAAAAAAGTCAGTCAGAAACTGGCCTTGATTTCCGGATGACTGGGGCAGTAAAGGGTAAATCGTGCCGGATTGCTTCTGTAGGATTGATACTCTAATCTATGCTCTTGAAAGTCAACAGTAAATAAAAAAAATCTCCTATCATGTTTTACGGAACTCATTAGAAGGATATCTCAGTTCAGATCAAAAATTTTGAGGCAGCAACTCCTGCTCTTGTGGACTTGCCCAATACGTTGTTTTCAGATTGAATGGTCTGGATATTTCCGTTCCATCGCGCCGCCCTTCTCTCCATAAATACTTTGCGACTAATCCGGATATTGTGGTCGCCGAAATTGATTATATGAGGAAGTAATATGGCAGGTAATAGGTGACAAATGATGACACTACCGATTATCTTTAGCGTTTCCAAGCTGCTACACTCAACTGACCCTCGGATCATTACCAATTATGTCTTCATCCAGTATGTCTCTTTATGGAGTGGAGAACTCGGAGAACGATTCGATGACGTTTCGCAGGTTTCAACATTACTAAAACCTATAATAAGGCCACAATAAGGCCAAAAGCAAAAGTAGTCCGCGAGATGCTGAATTTCGAGAGGGATCTGAATTAGCAAGTGAACGCAAGCTGACTAATAGCCTGTGCTCAGGCTATTAATCAGGTAGTGATCCGTAGGTAGTGATCGCTCCGAAAGTGCACGTCTTCCGTCGACGGCGGCATTTTGCACTTTTGTTGCTTTACTAATATCTGTTCACACGTTTTACTCTTGCAAAACCTTCAAACACCCGTGAAGCTGAAGAAAGCTTATGAAGGCATCTGATGAATGGTATTTGCAAGGTATTTCATTGCTCCATAGGAGTCCACAGGTGCGATTTTAAAAAACGACAGGTGGTCTCTACAGTCCTTGACAACTATCATTTCGTGGCGTGGCGAGATTACACAGGTTTCCACTAAATGGCTCAACACGTCACTGGGATGTAGCCAAGGCGCTTAATGCATTCCCTCCCCTACTAGTGCTGAAATGCACTTCTGTTCGCCATGAAGGCACGCCTAGACACTCAAAAAGTGGGAATAATTCGAGAGGGGCAAGACTCCAGTTTCGACCCTGACGACAAGCATCGCACTTGAGGCCCTCTTAAGTTCTGCAGGCGAAGCTACCAATTAGATTTTTCACAGGAATCCATGCTAAATGATGAGAAACTGCTAGAGGGCTTTGAATGCTTCGCATCCATAGGTAGCAACGCCAGCATTCGGCAATTGCAGGCTGTCGCTTCCCGAGAATGCCATACAAGTTTATAATTACAAGGTTCAAGCTCCCAACCCTCAATCGTTCGAGCCACCTTCAATCCCTTCTGAGGAGCTCTGCCTTATGACCACACATTTCACATGTTTTGAACTGCTTCTGCAGTTTGAGAACCTAGGTTAATCGCGAAGAAGGTGTCAAAACCCCCATTTGTGTGAGCCTTACACAACATTTCACTGAATAGTAAGATTTTAATAAAGTTTTATATAGTAATTTGATTGCTAATCCTTAATACACTTTTCGTACCCAAGTTTTAGAGGGGAGTAAGTAGCTTAGTTTTTTTTTTCGCACGTGCCCTTAGACGGAATCAAGCAGTTTGCAATTCCTCCTTTTGTGCTCATCAGTAAGGGAAAGGAGGAATAAGGTGTTTTATCTTGATAATTC